TGGGTCGAGCTCAATGTCCTGATTCCTCTTTAGCCCGGCGAGGTTCTTCCGGTGGCTCTGGGCCGACCGAGCATGTGCAGTAGTGTCTTTTCTCCTCCAGGGGGCGCCAGGTGAACACAACAGGAAAGGCCTCGTTCTTACTTCGCTCTGGTGTTTCGTTTGGTGATGAAATCGTTCATTCTCTCAAAGTATTTCCTCTGGAAGGTCTTCCTCATTTGCTGCCAGAAAAAGCCTTTAACATCTTAAGTGTCCATCGTTAGCTCCTTAGTGAGCCTCTTGCACACTGACTGACACCGTTGCTCTCGCTCCCCGTTAAACCGACGGTGCAAGTGAGAAGGGGAGTTCCCTTCAACAGTCTTGTGTCGAATTCACTCTTTGGTTGGTACTCGCTGTCAAGATTCCAAATATGGAACTGGAAATCTGCCCCTGTAATTGTGAGCCTCGATGAGCTTCATTTGACTGGAGTCGAACACTCCAAGTGGCATTCGGGTCAGGTTACTGATGGGACACTGCCTTAAATCTGTCTAAAGGAAGTCGTTAGCCACACTGAGTCTAACACACCAGGTCTGTTTGTTTACAGTTTTGTTTTTTTATCTTGGTCTATTGAACAACACTCATTTTGTCTTTTCTCAGGTCATGTCGTCGTCCGTGTGGTTCTCGGGCCCCCTCCGGATCCTTGTGCTCATCCTCTCAGTCGCTCTGACTCTCACACTTGTGTTTTTGGGTTATAACTCAAAAAACCTCTCTACGTTTGGCAATTCAGTACTTTTTCAAAAGTCCCCCACAAACTGTTCAACTGAGAAGAAGGCAGAAAGAAAGACTGAAGATGTGATCATCCTCATCTGGATGTGGCCATTTGGCACAAAGTTTGACATGAACTGTGACCCGTTCACCATCACCGGGTGCAAATTGACGGACGATAGGTCTCTGTACTCCAAAGCACATGCTGTCATGATCCACCACCGAAACATCCAGGTAAATGACCTGCCCAAAGAGCCACGCCCCTCTTTTCAGAAGTGGGTGTGGTGGAACATGGAATCACCTACACACTCATCCCGAGTGGAAGCTCTCGACAGCCTTTTCAACCTGACGTGTAACTACCGCCGTGACTCAGATATCTTCACGCCGTACGGGAGCCTGGTGCCAGTGACAAACAATGACGAACCTTTCACCCAAATCCCGATAAAAGACAAACTGGTCTGTTGGATCGTGAGCAACTGGAACATACGCCACAAACGAGTCGAATACTTCAAGGAGCTCAAAAAACACTTGGAAATCAAGGCGTACGGCCTCGCATTCGGACAACGCATCAGCAAGGAAATGTACGTTCAGATCATGAGCAGCTGCAAGTTTTACCTGTCGTTTGAAAACTCTATTCACAAAGATTACATCACGGAGAAGTTCTACAGGCCGCTGGAGCTCGGGGCAGTGCCGGTGGTTCTGGGACCTCCGAGAGAAAACTACGAAATCCACGCGCCCGCACAATCCTTCATCCACGTGGACGACTTCGCCTCCCCCAAGGAGCTGGCGGAGAGGCTGCAGCACCTGGACCAACACCCGGAGGAGTACATGGACTACTTTGAGTGGAGGAACAGTTTTAAGGTGGTGTCGACGTGGTTCGGACATGAGCACGCGTGCAGGACGTGTTATTACCTCCAAACAATGAACCGGTACCAAAGTCTGCGTAGTCTGAACAACTGGTACTGGAGCAGCTGAACTGAGCTCCAGGACATCAGGAAATAAAAATATCTGTGGTGTGTTTTGATCAGGGTGTAAGTTTCCTCTTTCTGTCGGTAAACGGTGCTATTGTATTGGAAGTATGTTGATTTGGCCACGAAACTTAATAATTGTGAAATGTCATCGACTGTGAGATTTGTGCGTTTTTTGAGAGTTCTGTCCTTTTTTAGTTTTTCCTGTACTATGCGTAGTGTGACATCCACGGGTGTTTTAGTGAACAGTGACATGACGTCGTGTGAGATGAGTATTTCGTCCGGTGCTACTGTGATGTTTTTTAGATCCTGTGCCAATTGTTTTGCGTTCTTGCAGTGGAATTTTGTTTGACCAATGAGTGGTTTTATTATTTCGACCAGGGCTTTGGATAAATTGTATGTGACTGAACCTATGCTATCGACTATCGGGCGGAGCGGCGTGTCTGTTTGTGGATTTTCGGGGTTCCGTAAATGCGCGGGGTGATGCTGGCTGTAGGGATTAAAGGTTGTATGGAGGATTTTCCAAGGAACGAGAAATCCAGCGACTGTTTGTCCTTTTTCAAATGTTGCGCATGCGTGAAACCACCTCCCCTCCCCCACAGCTCCTACGTAGAAACACCTCCTCCCGCCTCCTCTTTACGCCAGAAACAGGTTTGTTTACAGCCGGTGCTGCACATGACTTGTAAACAACTAACTACAGTGTTGGTTAGACAAGACAGAGAAGTGAGGAGCGGGGGGAGCGGGTGCGCGGACATTTCGTGCGCGGACGAGAAGTGAGGAGCAGGAGAAAGAGCGGAGCAGGGAGCAGGAGAGGAGAGAGGAGAGGGGAGGGGAGCGGTGCGCGGAGATTCCGTGCCCGGAAAAGTGAGGAGCAGGGGGAAGAGCGGAACGGGCAGCGGGGACAGGAGCAGGAAAGGGGTGCAGAGAAGGTTGCGTGGAGATTCCGTGCGAATGAACTAGCTACAACACGCAGCAGCAAGTGGACTCTTTCTTTGCATTGAAAATGACGTTTTCAGACATAGGATATCGCTTTCGTGTCCTGAAAAACGTTTGTCTAACTCTTGGAAATAAAGTAAGTTTTCATAATAAGCAGAAGTTTCCTGTCCAGGAGTAATTTGTGGACCAGTGGTTCAGTCTTTAGACCCTTCGTCTGCTTCAGTCGCGCCATCGCTGGAATGAATCTTCAAGAATCACCTTAGTTTGGCTTCGCTGCTTTTCCCCTTGTCTTCTTCTTTCAGCGACCTCAAAAACAGACTTTCTTTTGCGGTGAACTGCTCCTGGATTCTTGTCGCCATCGCAACAAACTTTGTGCGAACTGCGAGGAAGATATAGGTCAAAAAAAGCCGCTAAGAACTGTTGCGTTGGTGGAGTAAACAGCGTCTGTGCGTCTTGCGTCTGTGGACTGTGTGACAGTCGTACGTAAACCACGTACCGGCGGCGCAGGCAAGTCAGTTACACTAGAAACGTAGGGAGTTTGATTGACAGCCTGTCAGCTCACAGATAACGAGGCAGTGTCGTTATCTATTGGCAAATGTTTAGCCCCACCACGTCCAGAGTTGATGAATTTTTATTCTCTTTTTTTTGGTCATCATAATTACAAGGCGACTGCATCTATAATCTATCACTGACAATTTGAAATAAAAAAAAATCCTCCATACAACCTTTAAGTCGTTGTTTGCTTCTCGGGTGATTTTTTTCTGTTCTAATAGCGATTTGAGTAATGTTTTCAGGGCTCGTTTCTTTTCTTCTGTCGGGTTCTTTGTGATAATTTCGTAGGTGTCGGTGTCTGCGAGTAGTGTTTGCATTTTTTGTTCGTATGTTTTTGTGTCCAATATGACTGTTGTCCTGCCTTTATCTGCGGGTAGAATAGTGATTGTGTTGTCTTTTCTCATGTGATTAATGGCTTTCCTCTCCTTGCAGCAGCAGCCGAAACATGTCAACAAGGTCAACACACTTTACTGCATTGTCTTTAAAAAGAACCCAAGAAGTTAAAGTATATAAGAAGACAAAATGAACATCTTTGGCTTAGTCCTGGTTCAGTCCTGGTTCAGTCCTGGTTCAGTCCTGGTTCAGTCCGTATGTGGCGCATTAGTCCCGCATCGCATTTTAAACTCACAGAACTCTAAACTAGGACTAAACCGTTTTCAGTCCTGGTCTGGCCCCGGTCTCAGTCCTGGTCTTTCTGGTTTGGTTCCGGAACTGATTTAAGTCCTTGTTCAGTCGAATGAACGAATGAAACACGGATTCTTCTCCTTTACAAAATGCTCCAAATTCTCCATTCTCCACTCGGTCAGACTTTCTGAGCAGCTGATATTCTCCTAATATTACGACTTTATTTTGACTACGACTTTATTCTCATAAAATTTCAACTTTATTCTCGTAAATTTATGACTTTATTCTCATAAAAATATTACTTTATTCTTGTAAAATTACGACTTTATTCTCTTAAAATTATTACTTTTTCTGGCTTCGACTTTATTCTCATAATATTACGACTTTAATGTCGAAATGTTACGACTTTATTCTCGTAGCGCCAGTATTTTATTTTTTTTATCTGACCCTTATACTCCGTCGTATTCAAGACTTTCATTGATTTTTTTCAGTCAAAAACCTTTAATTAAACAAATATGTGGAATAATGAAATATTCATATTTATATTTTACATTTATGTTCGTATTTTCATCTCTTTGTATTTTAATCTATTTGCATTTGAATTAATGTATTTTAATGATAATAATATTTACTAAATTTGTACATATATGAAACAAATCGAATATTTAATTATTGTATGTAAATTTTTTTATGAATTAATAAATATCTTTTAATTGCTAAATAATGTACAGTTTAAATGAGTGCTCCTTGAACTTGTTGAGACTTCTACACCTTTTACAACAATTACAATAAATTGGTATATATTTTTAAACAAAAATTTAAATAAATATTTAAACATAAATATTTGCAATTGTCAATGTTTAAATATTAAATATTAAATTTTGCCAATTATATTAAAATATTCAATTACATAATTAAATAGTAATTTTATTTATTTATTAATTTACTGTTAATTTACATTTTTACATTAATCCAGTTAAATAAATCAACCGTTTGCATTTACAACACAACTGAGGCTTTCCATTGTGTTACTCAAATTAAACAGAATATTCACTTCACAGGAATTAATCCAGATCATTTTGACGTTTTGTCCTTAGGATCTTAACACTAGATCCAGTAGTTTAACTTTATACTTGAAAACAACATTTACAGGTAGATTTACTCACCGGTATCGTCTCTGTATTTCCTTTTGCGTTCCTGAGTTTGGTTTGTACCTGTGCACCTGAGCTGAACTGAACGAGAGCAGCAGACGCAACTTACCTGTATTTTTGGCGCCATCTACTGGTCAGAGAGGAGAGGTGAAAGAGGTGAGGAGTGAGGAGTGGAGGTGAAGACCAGCAGCAGAGCGTAACTACACCAAACAGGCGAACTCCAACTGTGCCACGAGAAAGAGGCCGAGCCGCTAAAGTTTTATTTTTTATAACAAAAGATAAAAAATTAAATCCTGTCAACAAAGGTGAAGACATTTCGCAGTGTTCTGGTCACTGGTACTGGTGCCTTCGATGTGTCTGGAGGAAGGAGCTGCACTGAGACTCACACCGAGGCAGATTTGTTTACACTTTTGGTTTATTCTCCAGGTCTGTTGCTCTTTTCTACTCATTCTGTGTCTTTTCTCAGGTCAGGGCCTTGTGCTCGTCCAAACTGTTCAACCAAGAAGACGGAGAGAGATCGTTGATCCTCCTCCCAGTGTTGGGGAGTAACAGATTACATGTACCGGAGTTATGTAATCAGAGTACAAATGATGAGTAACTGTATTCAGTTACAGTTACTGTTTCAGTGAGTGGGAATTGGATTACAGTTACTTTGTTGAAATAAATGGATTACACAGAGGGATTTTCCTGTTTTCACATTTTGGGCTAAACCAGGACTAAACCAGGACTAAAACCAGAACTAAACCAGGACTAAAACCAGGACTAAACCAGGACTAAACCAGGACTAAAACCAGGACTAAACCAGGTCTAAACCAGGTCTAAAACCAGGACTAAACCAGGACTAAAACCAGGTCTAAAACCAGGTCTAAACCAGGTCTAAAACCAGGTCTAAAACCAGGTCTAAACCAGGTCTAAAACCAGGTCTAAAACCAGGTCTAAACCAGGACTAAACCAGGACTAAACCAGGACTAAAACCAGGACTAAACCAGGACTAAAACCAGGTCTAAACCAGGTCTAAAACCAGGTCTAAACCAGGACTAAAACCAGGTCTAAAACCAGGTCTAAACCAGGACTAAACCAGGACTAAACCAGGTCTAAAACCAGGTCTAAACCAGGTCTAAAACCAGGACTAAAACCAGGTCTAAACCAGGATTTAACAGGACTAAACCATGTTGTGTGGACATGTTTCTTCTTCTTCTATCAATAATATTTTTAATTTGGTTCAGTAAAGTTTGGACTTTTTATTTTCTTTTAGCAGATAAAACATCTGATGTTACTATATCCTGGTCTTTGTTTCTCTACAGAAAATCAAGTAATCCAAAGTACTCAGATTACATTACTCACTTTAAGTAATTTAATGGATTATGTTACAAACTACATTCTGGTGTGTGTAATCTGTAATCTGTAAACCCAGACACTGAACTAACTCATAAGTTTTTTAAACTCTCCAGTCATAATTTCAAAAAAGAGCTCTGAAAGTGCAAATCATATGAGTTCTAAACATTCATACATGAATTTAGTTCCATCTGGGATAGAATTTATGAGTTTGCCGTTTGTGTCTGTCATAATACTTGAGTTAGCTATGATTTTACGTCATGACGTCATCGAACGTTCTGTCTGCTGGACGCATGGAGTTGGAAAATTCAAGATGGCTGCTGAAGCGGAGAAGATTGTGGCGCAAAATTTGTTAAGTATCTACTTTAAATTGCATATTTTCTGTCAGGTTCTTGTTTTCTTGATCAAAAATAGAAGTATAACTTTATTTGTTTGCCAGTGTTTAACGCAGCTAAGTTCGCCGTTTCTGAGAACCTGTGGTGCTAGCAAGTTGAAGTCCACGTGGTGCCGCGGACCGCGCAGATCAGCGATCTGCTCCCCTGATAGTGAAAAGTGTGGCAGCACTGCCCCTCATTTGTTACCGTCTTTGGTAGGTAAACTTTTTATGCAGTTCAGATTGTGTTTGTAACAATGCGGTAACTTCATATTTGATGAGCGGACTCGGGTAGCCGCCCTCCCCGCTTCTCAAAGCGGCTCCGGGACATGGGACGTGCGCGCACCCGTGCAAACTTTCCATGTCCCGGAGCACATCACTTCAGAGCGCCGCTGCAGGGCTTTGAGCTGCGGGGAGAACGGCAAGCCCCACACCGGGCTCTGATCCAGAATCTGCGGTGAGTGGTGAAGTCTGCCACTCCTAGACAGGTGATGAGCTAACTTACGCGGTTCTGAATGTGTGCGGAGGACAGGCGGGTTCTGATACTGCGTGTGGTTCTGATGAAATGTAATGTAGGTTAACGTGATAACAAAATAATTTAAATGATAGTAATTTGTTGGTATGATGTGAAATTTAGCATGCCAACAAACCACAAGTACACGCATTTTACTTATTACTTATTTTATTTACTGATTCTTCCTATCCACGAATTCAATTAAATGTTAATTACACAGTACTGAATTTATTTTTAATTGTGATCATGTGTATTGCAGGATAAAGAGGAAGTTTGAAGTTTGATTTTGTGGTAAAGTAGAATAATTGTATATATTCTTCCCCTTTTTATATAAATGGTCTTATTCTCTTCTCATTGGTAATGTTTTGCATATATGTATTGACCAGTTTCCATCAGTAAAAGAAATCTGAAGAATCTAAAATCTAAATCTAATCTTCTAAAATGTTTTTTTAATGAAAAGTTTGATTGCGTATTAATATACTAATACTGAATTATGCTTATGGTACTTTTACATCAGTGCTGCTTTGGTGCTTAAGAGTTAATAATACTGATTGCTTTCAAGTAAATATATATATTACAGGAACCAAAATAAACCAAAACAAAAGGGAAGTATTGCATACATTAACACACATTTTTCTTTTCTTTTCTTGCAGCAACACATTGGATCAGACGTTCACTGTCCAACATCCGCTTTTCAGTTATATGGCTGAGGTAAGATTTAATTGATTTCTGCAGAGATCAGGGGGATTTTTAAAATTGAGCAGATGTATTTAGTTTGGCTGCCTTTTACATATTTCAGGGAGGCTGTGATTCACTGGAATGGAAGTGCAAACTATGTCCTATATCTTGGGGCACACAAGCAGAACTCTTTAGACATTACCGCCTAAAACATGGCAGTTACTCCAAAGTCAGCCCTTTGCCCTGTTTGTATGACAATTGTATTTGCACATTTTCATCTTTTAATGCCATCAAAGCCCATGTATCTCGCTATCATAATGCAAGAAAATTGGAAAGAAAAAAGAATCAAGTCCCTTTTGCATGTGACCTGTGCAACTTTAAGAATATTTCAAGTGAGGATGCCCTCTTAAGTCATTTACGAAGCCATTTAAGAATGCATGAAACGGTTTCATGTCCTTTCAAAAACTGTAAATACAGCACAAATAGCTACTCTGCATTTAATGCCCACAAAACAAGGAGACATGCAGGAAGTTTAAATTCTGAAGAAAATGTGTCTGCAGTAAATGACCGCACCACAAAGCAGTCATCTGAAATGGATCTGGGTGAAGGTCCTAGTTTTTCTGAGGATATCGATTTATTGGGAAATGAGGAGATAGACACTCAATCAGATCTGGAGGATTTAAGAGCACAGCTGCAGCATAATTTGGCGTCTTTGTTTTTGAAAATGAAAACCGTGCTTCATGTTTCTGACATGGCAACTCAAGACATAATTGAACACTTGACTCAAATTTTCACCTTGTCCCAACCATTATTAAAAATGAATATTAAAGATGCATTTCATAATCATGGCATAAATGCCCCTGAAACATTAATAACTGAGATACAAAATGCATTTGTCAACAGCAACATTTTTGCTTCTTCCACTTCTAAAGGAGAGATTCTCTCCTCTAACAAAAGACGTAAAACCTTTATTAAGAGAAACTTCCCTGTTGTCAGTCCAGTCGAGTATGTTGTGGAACCAGGACACACAACTGTACATATTTCAGTGCTGCAGATGATTCAGCAAATATTTAAACACACTGATGTCCTAGACAGAATGAAGGAAACTAAAATCAGTCCAAAAGGTTTTTATGCAAGCTACAAGGATGGTTCCTACTTCAAAGAAAATGACTTCTTTATGACAGAGGAGTTAAGATTACCTCTCATTTTGTACACTGATGATATTGAAATAGCCAATCCACTTGGCACCTCCCGTAAAATTCACAAACTAAGCACAGTATATTGGATGTTTGCTGATCTTCCAAGTAAGCACAAGTCTGCTTTACATGTCATTCAACTTGCAACATTGTGTAAAGTTACAGACCTGGAAAAATTTGGATATGAAAGGGTTCTTCGTCCCCTATTAAAAGACATCTGTACACTTGAGCAAGATGGTGTATTTATTGAATCACTTGGCAAAGCCTTTCGAGGCACTGTAGTGTGTGTTGTGTCAGATAATCTTGCTGCGCACTCTTTGGCCGGCTTCAGTAAATCTTTCAGAGCTACGTATTTTTGTAGATTTTGTACTGCTACCCAAGATCAGCTTCAAACACAAGAGGTCAGTGATGGAGAGTTTACATGGAGGACCAAATCCAGCCATGACGGTGACGTTCAGGCAGTGACGCAGGGACAGTGTCAGCAGCAATGTGGAGTCTATGGAGATTGTGTATTCAATAAATATCTTGAATGTTTTCACACAGTGACTGGATTTCCCCCCGACATTCTTCACGACTTGTTTGAAGGTGTTGTGCCTGTGGAGCTTGCTTTATGTTTAGGTGAGTTCATACGTTGCAAATATTTAACACTGGAGGATTTGAACAAAAAAATACAGTCTTTCCCATATCAACACACAGACAAAGTTGACAGACCACAGCCTATCCATAAAAAATTTGCTGCAAAGCGCACCATAGGTGGCAATGGGCATGAAAATGCAACTATGCTCAGATTGCTTCCTTTGATGATTGGTGAAAGAATCCCACAAGGAGATGGAGCATGGTCTGTTCTCATGGATTTGAAAGATATAGTGGAATTAATGCTGTCCACTACATTCACAGAGGAAACTATTCAATATTTGCAGTCAAAAATTGAAGATCATAGAAGGTCTTTACAGGAAGTTTTCCCAAGTTTTCAACTCCGCCCAAAACATCACATAATTGAACATTACCCATACCTCATCCGTTGCTTTGGTCCTCTTGTCCATTTTTGGACAATGAGGTTTGAAGGTAAACACAGATTTTTTAAGAGAGTTGTCCATGACACACAAAACTTTAAAAATGTTTTGAAAACATTAGCAACTAGACATCAACAAATGGTCGCATTCTACCTTAGCTCTCCATCATTCTTTAAACCTCACCAGCAAGTTACCAATGTCACTTCTGTGCTCGTCTCAACACTTCCCAGAGTTGCAATGGAATATGTTAAACAAAAGACTCAAAGTAACATGATTCATTCTACATCAAAAGTAAATGTTAATGGCTCTGACTATGCTGTTGGCATGTTTGTCTCTGTTGGCCATGAAGGGGGCTTGCCACGATTTAGCAAAATTGAAAGCATTCTTCTTGTGGATAACCAGGTCACTTTTCTTGTACGAGATCACAAATCCAACTATGTTGAGCATTTACGATCTTTTGAGCTCTCCCCTTTGAATATGATAGTATGTACCATAGCTGAACTAAATGATGCTTTGCCTTTATTTGCATACAACTTGGAAGGGAGACTCCTCATAACACAGAGAAGATTTATATCGCTAAATGGAGTCTAAATCTATGCAACTAATGTCCTTTTTTTGTGCTGATGTAACCCAATGCAATGACCATTAAAATGTGCATCATTTTTGTATACAGACTTATCAACAAAGGATGACTACCACCCAGAAGTACTTGCTCCGTGTTTATGTGTCAACGGATGTAGCCATGAAGCTAACACTTACACAGCGCCCACAATCTGTAGAAGAACTGAAGACCATAATGAGAAACAAGTTCAGACCAAGACTTGATGGTGACTTTTCACTTCATTATGAGGACCCAGACTTTGATGGGATGCTAAGTTGTCTTGTAGACATTGATGAACTTCCAGAAAAGGGAACATTGAAAGTGGTCCGCTCTGAGAGTGATGACTCTTCAGTGGCCAGCTCAGACACTGATATCCTACCTCATGTGCCATTGCACCAGCGTCAAAAGCACTGGCCTAGCACTTTTATTGTGCCTGTATTTCCTATGGATGTTGAGTATGTGCTTGAAGAAGGAAACAAAGTGTTTAGAGATTCTGGAAAAACACTGAAATTAACTAGGAACCAAAAGTCAAATATTTTAGACAAAATGGCTGAAACGATTTTTAGTTACAAAGCTTATCCAAATGACAGAGAGGTGGGCAAAGCAGCTGAGGCTTTAGTTACTGCGCACCCATGCCTTACAGAGCCTGGAAGTGAAACTGCTTGGTATGGCTGGAAAATCCGTTTAAAACACAAGATGGGTAATTATCGAACAATCATGTCTCATTCTGGCTGTGCAGAAGTGTCAATTAACACAGGCAAAAGAAGCAAAAACAGTCCAGCAAGTGAACACCCCCATTCCAATATCAAGAAACCAAGGAAGTCTGAAGTCAACTTTCTTCCAAACTTTCCCAGAGGCGAGAACCAAATATCCCTGGAGCAGACAAGATTAGAAGTGATCGAAGAAATGGAAAAGACAGAACGAAATCAGCTTCTCATTGGAAGAGGCATGCAGACAACATTTGCACTTAGACGGCAGGAGATTGTCACTGGAGATAAAACAATAAAGGATCTACTGGCTCGATGGCCCTTAACATGGAGTCACAGGTACACTTTAAAAACAAACATTTTTTGGTATGTCCAATTAGAAAATATAACTACTTGTACCCATATTTTGTGTTTTCAGGTGTTTGCGGAGTTCCATGGCATCACCAATGTGAATCTCCGCAATACATTCTACGCAGAGCTTGATCGTCATACAAAATCACTGGTTGCACTGTACAGGCAGAAGGCTTCTCACACAGGAAAGATTCCAGAGGCCCTGCAGAGAATCCTCAGAGAATATGATATGCAGGTATTAATTATATTCTGTGGAAATGTGTTTACTATCTCAGATGTATGTAGTACAGTCCCTGACAAAAGTCTTGTCGCTTATCCATTTTGTAGAAACAAAAGCTTATAACCTGACTTTAAATTAATCAATTGGTTTTAGAAATGTCTCATATGAAGCTAAAACCCTCCCAAATTATGCTCAATATACTAAAATTAATTTGCTTCACTGAAGAAAGATTGATAATTTAATGAACACAGAAAGGTCAGATTTTGGAAAGACAAAAGTCTTGTGGCCTTGTCATATGATGCACCCAATCCTAGATTACAGCCTCACCTGTGATCAGTTACTGATCAATCAATTAGTGTTTGTGTATAAAAAGAACCTGAGCACACCAGACCTTCACATCAACTGCAACTTGACCTCTGACCACATGCCTAAGATCCACCCTGAGACCAAAGCCTTAATTATCTAGAGGCTGAAGACCAGATCCACTGCTGAGGTGGTGACACCTTCAATGTGTCTCAGCGTCAAGTACAAAGAATAAGAAAAAGATCTGAAATGACTGGAGATGTTTTTGACAAGCCCAGGTCCGGCAGACGCCGCAAGACAACTGCTCGGGAGGACCGTTTGTTGATTCGAAAATCCAAGGCCCCTTTTCCACTGCAGCAGACTCCACCAGGCCTGGTCACCTCAAGTCCCTGTGTCAATCACAACAGTTTGTAGAATTCTGTCTGGAAATGGCCTCCATGGTCGAATCAGTGCACAGAAACCAGCACTGAACAAAAGGCAATTAAAAAACCGTGTGGCATTTGCCAAGGCCCACAGCCTGATAAAAGGATGGACACTGGAAAAGTGGCAGAAGGTGAATTTCTCAGATGAATCCTCGGTTGAATTACATCACAGCCACCGCAAATATTGCAGGAGACCAACTGGAGCCACATGGATCCAAGATTCACACAGAAAACAGTTAAGTTTGGTGGCGGAAAAATCCTGGTCTGGGGTTACATCCAGTCTGGGGGTGTGCGAGACATTTGCAGGGTGGAAGGCAAATATCAATAACCTAAAATATCAAGAAGTATTAACTTCCTCTTACATTCCCAACCATAAAAGGGTCAGATTTTGCAGCAGGATGGTGCTCCATCACATACTTCTATCTCTACATCAAAGTTTCTCAAGGTGAAGAAGATCAAGGTGCTCCAGGACTGACCAGCCCAGTCACCAGACATGAACATCATTGAGCAGGTCTGGGGTAGAATGAAAGAGGAAACATGGAGGCAAAACCAAAGACTCTTGATGAACTCTGGGAGGCTGTAAGACGCTTTCTTTACTATTCCTGATGACTTCATCAACAAATTGTATGAATCATTGTCGAACCACATGGATGTGTCCTTCAAGCTCATGGAGTCATACAAGATATTAAATATGGATCTCACAGCACCACTACTTCATTCACTGACGTTATGCAACATATTTTTGTATTTGAAGTAAATTATTTGTTCAATTTTCTGTAGGCGACAAAACTTTTGTCTTGCCAAAATCTGACCTTTCTGTGTTCATTAAATGATCAATCTTTCTTCAGTGAAGCAAATTTATTTTAGTATATTGAGCATAATTTGTGAGGGTTTTAGCTTCATATGAGACATTTCTAAAACCAATCGATTAATTTAAAGTCAAGTTATAAGCTTTTGTTTTTACAAAATGGATAAACAACAGGACTTTTGTCAGGGACTGTATTGTAAAAGTAATTTTTATTTTTTTTTTCAATAGGAGGAACAGGATATAAATTTGAGGCGCACACTGTCACTTCGTGCGCTTTCAGTCTACTTGAGAGAGGATGACACAGACTTTTATAAAAGCTGTAATGTAAGTAATCTCAATATTAGAAAACTATGATTGACTGCTATTTGGTTATACTGTCATTTATTATTATATTAAGTTTACTTTCTCTGTGATTGTTCATTGTGAGCACTCTCATACTGACTGTAACACTTGTATTTTGCAGCAAGATGGTCAGTCAGATGTGTCGGACTGCCCACTTGGTCTACTATCGTCATCTCCAAACCTGTTCATACCAGGAAATCTCTCAATTGTCATTGAGGGAAACGTGGTGTTTAGTCAGCTGTCGACTGTGCCAGAGGCATTTCTGCTGCTGTTTGGACTCATCTATGTCTTTAATAT